TTATTTTTCTAACTTTTCATGTAGAACCCCCACCCTATTTTTTGCTTCCTTGATAAGTATAATCTTCAAAAAATTCAATGCCAAATCAATCATCGCCTTCTGTCTTCTTGAACCCTAATTCTGTTTTCTGTCCTTTCTTTCATCCCCCCCCCCCATTTTCAGTCTTCTCTTTTCCTTTCACTACCTGTAATTCCTGCGGTATAGTGGCATTGTCACCTTGCTTGGAGTAAAACAGTTTTAAAAAAATCTAAAAAAAAAAAAAAAAGAATGTTATACAACGACGACCTGATGAACATCCTATCAGCGGCATCTCGTCTGCAGTCGCTCTCTCACAGACGTGCCGTCGCCTCCTTCTGTCTTTTTTAGAAATACTTTCACGGTAACTGCTCCAAGGAGCTGCTTTTGCTGGTTCCCAAATTTCATGAATTTAAGCGTTCTACTAGGCTGGCATCTAGCTCTCACCCTTTCACTGTCGAAACTCCTAAATGTAGCCGTCTCTTCTACTCCAATAGCTTCATGTCTGGCACATCTCACCTGTGGAACTCCCTCCCCTCTTCCTGTTTCCCTGATAGATATAATCTCCAAATATTCAAATGTAATGTCAATCGATGTCTCCAGATGCCATGATCTATCCACTATCCTTCTCTTCATCCTTTCCTCTATCACTCCTATCTGCTCTCGCTCCAACTCTCTGTAACTTGCGTGCTAGTGGCTTCCCGCCTTGCTTGGAGTGAAACGCTTATATAAAAAAAATGTACCAGTTCTACAAACTGGCGACGATGTCCCGACTTCTTTATGTATCGTGTCCCCCCAGAACGTAGCGGGGGTGATAGCTTTCCACAACTTCCTATTCGGCAAAGTTCGTGGGAACTGGAATTATGCACTTGGCGTTGGTGGGCTCAACGTCTTCATGGCAGGAGATTTAGCAGCATATATTCAGAGTGAGATGGGTAAATTGTCGCCATTTTATATTTTTAATTTCGCGCATGCGCTTTATTTGTTTTTGATTTTGTCGACTGCACAGTCATAGTAGGTTCAGTTGGGCACGTCTGTGAGAAAAAGAGCACCATGACGCAATTCACCCCACCAGAAATTTGGAAACGGCATGCTGCACTGCCTGGCATTCGCGCCGGAAGCTCTAATACGAACATTTCAGAATGTTTGGGTGTCATTCTCTGTCCCCCCCCCAAAATACCAACATTGATGAGAACCAAACATCCGATCAACATCATGGTTTTTGGTGTGATCACTAATGATGACGACGTTATGCCTCTCCATTCATCTCCCAACATGGAGTACTAGATAAAGTGCCATGAGGAGGTAATACTGCCCTCGGCCAAGAGGGTGGCTGATGGAAGACCCTATGTCTAGCAACAGGACTCTGAACCATGCCAAACAGGAGATCCCAGTCATGGCTGTCAGACAATTTCTGCGACCACATCACCTCTTACATCTTGCCGCCAATACTGCAACTCCCTTGATTATTATGTGTGAAGAGCAGTCGAGCGATAGAAACCCCCACTCCCCCCCAAAGAACTCCTTGTAACACCAAAGATAAACTGAAGGCAAGGATTAAGGCAGCATTCAACAAATTAAAAAAGGAGACAGCCCAGAAGAGTTGCGGGAGATTCTGAAGTCGTTTGGAGGCTGTAATTAAAGACAATGCCGATTTTATTGAATAAATCTACTCTTTAGTATTTCAAGATATTTTTGTGTAATTTTGGTAAATATATCTGTTAAAATGAGATGCCAGTGTTATTTTCATTTTTGCTTAATTTAGATGACAATTTAGACATCGAGTCGCACCACATACACACACACACACACACACACACACACACACACACACACACACACACACATATATATCTCGAGGATGATATTCGTGTGTAATAGTATATTCATTGATATTCAATTTTTGATTAGTTATCTAAAGATTGTGACGTTATATATGACGTCAGAAAAATTTCCTCAGAAAAGAGGAAAAAAGCTTTAAAGTTATTCACTATAATAAGTTTTTAGTACTAACCCTATTTTGTTTTGTTTTATGTAAATAGTATTAAACCATATTGTAAATAATCATTGGAGTTTTTAAATTGTTGTTTTATCCCCTCCCCCCACAGACTTTGAAATGTACATATGGGGACTAGTTAGGATTTCATAGAGAATTTGAGGTATTATGGTGGACGCAGTAAGAAAGGTAGGAGTGAATGTGTTGTTTTGGTGATAGGAATATTGTTGGTATGTTTGGGTCCGTGTCTGTGACTAGCTAAGTTTAGAATTAAGACAGAAGAAGACCGTCCTTCCCCAACCCCCTTTTAGGCCTTGTGCCACATTTTGTACAAACGTACAAATAAATAATTATTCACTATAATACAACGCTGAAATTACGAAAACGTTCAACAGATGTCATAGAAGAATAAAAAAAGAAATTGAAAATCTTGGCAAGATATGAACAAGAAAAAAAAACTGACCTTTCAGAAAGAGATTTGAGAAATATTAAAAAGTTAATTAACAGTAAAAGTAAATTTTCCGACAAGAAAATATTCCAAGAAGCTGGGATTGCGAATATAAACAGAAAGGTTAAAAATGAAGTATTCTTGACTGAGTACATTGGCTAAAGCCATGAAAACTACTAAACTACCGCCTTCAATTAAACCTAACAAAGAGAAACGTGTAGGTTGGATGGAGAAATATAGAAACGAATTTCTCAAAAGTAATATTTTTACTAAGGAATATAGAGCTGTATTGGCAATGTCTGATAGTAGGGCTTCAGGTTAGATTCATCATATAAATGGTAAATGGTAAACTAACTGTAGTTAATTTAAAGTAGTATTTTAAATTAGATAAGAAAAATTGATGATCAAAACATTGTAAAATCCAAGGGGAGTGCAGAAAGAAATGTTGCAGTCAAAAATCGTACTCCAATATCAAGAAATCCCAGCACACATATCTTTTTCGCTGTCAATCCACTGCCCGTTTAAAACCGTCTGATTAAAAAAACTGCGCCCTGAAAAAATGGACTCAGTCTTATATCAGTTGCGTCCTCGCGCTTGCAAAACCACAAAAACGTACGCTATGACGGAATTACAAATGGCGACCATGACCGCCACTTGGTCTCACTTCACGACACTAACGCCACTTGAAAGACAAGTATTATTATTAAACTTATTTTGGAAATTAACTTATTATTGTGTAAGGAAAGACGAATTTAATAATCAACAATATATTTAAAGAAAGCATTATTAATAAGTGTTTGGTTTTTACCTTACTTCAAGGTTAATAATAGTACCATTAACACATTACAAAAATCAAATGCACCACAATAACAAAAAAATGAAAAAGCTATAAAAAATAAAGTATATAGATACCGGTAACCCACCCCGCAAAAAAAGATTTAATGTATATGTGTGTGTGTGTGTGTGTGTGTGTAGTTTAAACAAAAAATATTAAAAAAATTAAAATTTTCAGACACACTGGGTTGTATATTAATATTTTTTTGTTTTATTGCTTAAATTAGGTTCCTCGATTAGTTTCGGCCAGCATGGCCGTAATCAGGAGAAAAAAATTTCTGCTTGTTAATAGCAGTGAACTACAGGAGTGAATAATTGTTTATGAAGAAAATGAAGTAGTTTTCATTTGATTTTTTATCGTTAATTTTGGTTGGTCCTTGTGTTAGTCAAATGGCCTCTTTTAAGTTGTTTTTAAGATAGAAGCTGAGGAGATACATGAGTCGCAGAATTCTCTTCTTGGTGTTTTTGATAGTTTTATTGGTTGCTGAGAGAGGGATGTGTGTGTTAAGTGTATGTAATTTTTTTATTCTTTGGGAGTGTACAAGTGTGATACCTCAACACCTTCGCAAACACGTCTGTATTGTGTCGGTGAGAAATGTGGGTAGGGCTTAATTTATAGGATTATATATTAATTCTATCTATGTTGTTAAATTTGTGGTTAAGCCCGTCTGGACGAAGTGTTTCGAGGCGCAAAATCCATTTGACTTCATGTTCTTCTAATATTTTTCTAAGCTTATTTTTCTTGTCTATTTCTATTTTTTCAACTATAGTGAATTTGACATGGCTTTTAAAATCATGTTTTTTTTTAGGCGGAAATATTGTTCTACAGGTAATAATCTTTCGTAGGGAGCCGAGTTGATCCGATTGCGACAATTATTAATTCTGTAGTGAAAGAGCCATTCAGTTTCTGGCATATTGTGCATTCTAATAAGTAAATTATGTTATGACTTCTACAGTTAGAGTTGTAGTAGATTTTGAAAGTAGATTTAGTGACTGAGATAGTGAATGAATTCGTGTGTTTAATGTGGTTATAACACAAGGTACTTTTGTTGTCACATGGTTGTGAAAATTCCGTTGTTTTTATTTTTGGTCTATTACGGGTTATCTTATCTGAAATTTGGTTATGACCTATAATTTACTTAAGGTTCTTAGGTCTACAATATGCTAGAAGACCGGGTTCCTCAAACAAAATGTTTAGGTCTGGTCTGAGATATAGTACCTTCCAGCGACTTTTGATTATCTGAGATAGTGGAGGAAGAGTAGTGTTGAAATTGGTTACTAGAGGGTTGCGTCTGAATTTATTTTTTATTTTATACATTACGGCATCTTCGCTAGGTGTGGAAATTGCTTTATTTATTTGTTCCCTGATATATATATATATATATATATATATATATATATATATATATATATATATATATATATATATATATATATATATATATATATAAATTTCCTCTTCGCCACCGTGTCCCGCTGGCCCAATAGTATGATGCTTGCGTCGTATCGTAACGGTCGCGGTTCGATTCCCAGAGTCGATATAGAATGCTCATATAGATGAGTCCCAAAAAGGACGAAACAGCTGTACACCGTGTGTGTGCGTGCGTGTGTGTGTTGAGGATTCTAGGTCGACATGATGAATATATATAAATAAAACCTTAAAGACTGTCATATTGCAACGACCTGATGAGGCTTACAGCCACGTTATGTTAAACCACCGGTTCTCGTCCGATCACCGAAGGTAAGCAACGTCGAGCTTGGTCAGTACCTAGGTGGGCGACCGCTTGGAAATACCAGGTGCCGTAAGCTTGGATATGCGAATGGTGTAATGATTAAAGGCATGGGATTAGAAATTAATTCAAGACTAAGCATTTAATTGGCAAAGAATAATATTTCTCAAACCCCTATATACGATTAATATTGTTTATGGATTTATTTGTGCAATCAGAGATTATATCTCTATAAACAATATATGAATTATATAGGGAACAGAACAACCACCCTTTCCTGAAGACTTGCGTGCTATTTATCATAACAAATATGTATCAAACAGCACTTTAATAAGCACCATAAGGACCACAGCTCCTTATAAATAACATCAAAATAATACATAGATCCAGTAGTAAAAGAAGTCTTAAAATTACTCAAGTTATCTACATCAGACTGAAGTAACCATGCATTAATGAAAGTAATGATAGCCGTCAACCTAGCATACTGCAATGCATAAAAAAGCGTCATTACAGACACTCTAAGTTCTTTGTCGTGACACGTGGCGGGGGGGGGGTCTTCCTGCGTTTTCAGATTTGTTCGATTAGTTTTAAATATAGTGTTGCACTAAATGCGTTATTTACGAATATTATCGTTTTTTTTTGTTTTTTTTTTTACATAATATACTAATTAGAGATCGCCGAGGATGGCTCACATTTTCATGTACTCAGTACGAGGAGTGGTATTGATCTGATCTGAACGCATCGTGATATTGAAAATAATGCATGCAGAAGTTCCAAGACACTACTGGAAACAGAATCAGATGCTTTTTTTGATGAAAGAAAAACGAAAACGGCACAAAGTTTTTCCATTTTTATACTTTGAGATTTGTTTAAAAAACGTACTCAGTATATTGAATGGCTATCACTGGCACGAAGTATTGTCGAAGATCACAATTTAAAAAATGTTCTTACAAGGAATATTCTGCCATTTTTCATGACCCAAACGTTTGCAAATTCTTTTCTTTTCTGGTATATGCTCGAATTTTTTAACCCTCTTCACAAAATTAGGATGGAAATAAAAAAAGAGATTATCATTTAATTCGATCTTTCACAGATTATGTAACTTTGATATTTTTTTTTTACAATGTTGTTCACCCTGTACAAGGCACAAGAGCTACTCAATGTAGAAGGTTAAAGAGTAAGATACACAGTTTATGGGGATATGTGGGGATGATAACGGTCATCGGGTCAGCATCCTCTTAGGAATTGGCTCCACGATACAACGGTTCGTAGGAAGAAGCTGCTCGAGTGGAACTTACATCTCACCTGTGGAATAAAAAAAAGGGCGTGGTTCGCTACAATGTCTGTGGAATGTCGGGTCTTAGTCATGAAGGTTAGAACTGTGGGAACTAAGGAATGTAGTCCGTCTGAACATTCTCCATGGAAATAGCGATAGAAAATGGTGCGGCATTTCGTCTGTGCGAAAGCGATTGCAGGGTGGGAAATAACTCATCTCCCACAAGGACGCGGGGACACTTTTGGACTGAAAAGTGAAAATTGGGCTACTCCTGCTCATAGATGGCAGAGGTATTCCATTTTACGCTAAGATCAGATATTTGGGCAGTCTAATCTTATAAAATTGCTATAGTCTCATCAATGGGAAAACCTTTTGTTATACGTGATGTATAGCAATGGGAGTTATTACTTTGGAACACTTCTCCTACATCTGGTAATATCTAAAATACATCTGGTAATATCTGTTCAGTATACTATCGATTGTCATCAGCTTTCTTGTCTCATTTCTTTTGATGCACTCCACCACCCGGACCATTAAATCCCCACCACTAAATATTACTGCCTTTGTTGTATATTCTGGATTATTTATTGTGTCAGATGTTCTTCAGACATAATTTCTTGCATTAGAATTCACTTTTATTTTGCTTTTGTCATTCTAGATCTTTCCCATTTTTCATTTTCTCATCACAGATGTTCTTTTGCCCAGTGTTTTCATCTTATTTGATGTTTTTTGGTTAATGATGGCTTACTGGATGAATTGGTATTTCACTCGTAAAGCCGCTTTTATCTATTCGTTGACGAGTTGTTAATTTTGCTTGGATACTGATAACATCACCAGCTTTGATCTCTTTTGTCTCGTTTCGAATGTCTACCAGTCTTGTTCATATACCAAACGCCCCCAACATCAGCATGTTTTTTTTTTCTTTCTTCTGGGTGACTTGGATAACATGCTTTGATATCTCAAGCTCCTTAGCGATTCCATGTTGACGCATTGTTTGTTATTTTTCTTCTTCAAACTTCTCATTGTGAAACTTTAATCAGGTTCACACTGTATCGTGCGAGACAATTTTTCTCACTAGAATCTATTTTACACATTTATAAGACCATGCTTCCAATACTTCTGTCTCATCTTGTTGGGTGTTTCTGCGATATATTTACAGATTCTTGATAAAATCCAAAGAAGAATCTGCAATAATATTGGTCCTGACTAGGCATCTCGGCTTCAGTCACCTTCCCGCTGCCGTAACTTAGCTTTCCTGTGCCTTTTCTAGAAATTCTTTCATGGTAATTGTTCTGATGAACTCTAATCTATGGTACCTAGACTTTACGAATTTAAACGCAATACTAAATGGCCGGCAAGGTCGCATTATTTTACTGTTGAAATGTAACCGTAAGTTCTATACTAACACTTCCTTTTCTAATATTTCTCGTTTGTAGAACTTCCTTCTGTCTTCTTGCCTCCCAATCAACTTTGATCTCCAAAAATTAAATGCAATGTCAATCATTGTCTTCTGTCTTCTTAATTCCTGTTTTCATTCCTTAATAGTGTTTTTTTTTTCTAATATTTTCTCCCACTCAGTCACCCATTACGTCTTAGTAGCATTATATCCTTGCTTAGGGTGAAATGATTAAAAAGAAGGCACGTTCAAGGTATCAGGATTTATCCTTTAACATGACAAATTTCATACGTATCTCCTTGAATCATATTAATCTTGGGGAGAGTCATGTTTTTAAAAATTTATTTTTGTTTTTAATGTTCACCCAATACAAGGCTTAAGAGCCACCCGAGGTGGAGGATTAATGAAGGAGTTTGTTGTGTAAGCGTTAAGAGTAAGAGGCACAGATTTTCCTGTGGGACGACACTCCTCATTTGAAAAGACAGAAGAAAGAAACAAACACAAGAGAAAACAATGGAGTGGAAAATACTAAATAATTAAGAAAGAAAAAAAAAAAACTTCCACTAGTTAATGCGCTGAGAAAATATCTACTTTGAATGTATATATAAAGAATATACAATGTATTGAACTGTGGAGAAAATCATATACAATCGAAACCTAAAATAAATGTTTCGTGATGTCAACGAATACTCGTTGCCATTTTGTAATGCCAACGAATACTGGTTGTCACTTTTGTAATACTCATTGTAGTAGAGACTTTGTAATCGCAGATACAACTATAGTACGCCGTTGAACAATACTGGTGCCAGACGCCTTTGAATAAAACTTGCACTAACAGCACTTGCTCGATAATACTCGCTCGAACAGTAATCCGTATAGCGATCCGAATAGAGAAATCGTATAGAGAATAGAGTAGAGCAATAGAAGATAGAATAGAAATAACGATCAATACGACGTCACGTGACTTCCTAATTAATACCTTTAACTAAATATCTCAAAGGAAAGTGTACATGTTGGGCGAAAAAGCTAATGAAAACTGATATGGCGATAGTAATATTTGTATCTAGAACTATATTGGATGGACCAAATAGTTTTTTTTGTCACTTTCGTAATACACGTTGTAGTAGAGCCTTTGTAATCGCAGATACAACTATAGTAACGCCGTTGAACAATACTGGTGTCAGACGCTTTCGAATATCACTCGCGCTAAATGTACTTACCCGATAATACTCGCTTGAATAGTAGCCACCGAATAATAATTCGAATACAAAAATAGTATAGTGAATAAAAGAGAGAATAGCGGGCCATATAGTAATAGAGGATAGAATAGAAATGGCGATCAATTAGACGCCAAGTCAATTCTTACATATGCATTTCCCTTATATTCACGTGGTCTACTTAATTCAATAATGGGATCGCCTGTGTTTGCTCACTGGCGATCTATGTTCAAACTCAAGTGTCAGCAGCGACTCTTTATTCCTATACAACAAAATGACATCCTTAAAAAAAAAAAAAATTCAACGCTGACCACACTGAGCTGAAAGTGTCCGCAGAAATTGAACATACACCAATATACATTATTTATTTTTTTTACAATGGTGTTCACCTTGTACAAGGCCCGGGAGTCACTCGGGGTAGATGTTACAGACTAAGATGTACATTTCATGAGGATTGCAATTGGATTACATTCGTGAATGACTAGAGATACCACTCCTGAACGTCCATTTTTGAATCCTTCCTTACCTAAATGCCATGTTTGGGCGATCACCTCTTGTTTTCGATTCACGATTGATTTGACAGAAGAATTCCCGCAATACGCTACTGTTACTTTCTGCGGTAGACTGGTTGCCAGCCAAGGCTATATATAGTACACAGTCTATCCTGCTCTTTAACTCATGGCTGGAGGGAGAAGATATGGATTTATACCTTTCCCAATGTTATTTCAGCATGCCTTAATCTAATGGACTCGACTGGAATTTGAACTCAGCTCTTCGATTCCTCATCATGAGCAGTTATCCATTACACCACTCGCACATCCAAGCTTCTTCTATGGACGGGAACCGGTTTTTCAACGTGATATTATCACAAGCTACATTGTTGAATATTTTTTAAGGCAATTCGACCCAAGCAAGACGGGAGTGCCACTAACAACCAAGGTGTTGCAGAGGATTGAGAACAAGAGTAGAGAGGCGTGTTTGAGGAAAGGATACATAAAAATTAACTTTTTACATAGACGGCACATTTCTTTTGCTTACCACTGTATATATTATATACAATACGCACACTGATATGATATAAAGAAATAGACACCATATTCTAAGTTGTAATTTAGTAAAGAGATGCTAGTTGTTATTAATTTTGTTATAAAATACTACACAACATCATTAGTGATTATCAATGAGCCC